GGCTATCTGGCTCGCCTGATAATAATTAGTTACATTGGGAACCCCAAGGCCACCCAGAAAAAACGCATAATCTTTGCCTGAAGCAACCAAAGGAAATGAGGAGGAAACCCACACTGGGAGGGTGTGAAAATAGTATAACAATTTCGGCAAGACGGTCATTTTCACTGAATTAATCTGTCCTATCCATGACAGGTCCGGAAATTGCCAAGCATGTATAAGAGAGGACACAGAGCGAAGCAATGGATAGTAATTTGTAGCAAACAGTGAGTCATAGGTGGGGGTCAAGCGAATGCCTAGATATTCAAGAGAAGAAGAGGCCCATTTATAAGGGAAGTGGGACTGTAGGCGCGTAACTAGATCTGAGGCCAAAGTAATATTAAGCGTGACAGTCTTATTCAAATTGATACAGAGACCCGAAATCAAAGAGAAGCACTCAAAAACCTGTTGCAAATTTGGAAGCGCCGTCAGGGGATTAGTGAGAGTCAAGAGGGCATCGTCTGCAAAAAGGTTCAACTTGAACTCCTGTCCCGCGTATGGAACCCCCGATACATTACAAACAGTCCGGAGCGCCATAGCCAACGGCTCAAGCACCAGGACAAAGAGTGCTGGGGACAGGGGGCATCCCTGTCTCGTACCTCGCCAAATAGGAAAGGGATCTGAGAAATACCCAGCGTATTTAATGGAAGCTGAAGGGGAAGAATACAAGGCTTGAATCCAAGAAAGAATAGAGTCCCCAAAACCCCAGCGAGACAGCACAAATCGCAGATATTCCCAGGATAGAGAATCAAAGGCTTTATATATGTCTAAGGACAGTAAGAATCCCGGTATTTTCCGCTGTTGTAGAAAATGTATAAGATGGACCACCTTATGAACGTCCGGAGAGGGCAATGAGCCCTGTCGTAACTCATTAAAATAGTCAGCCAAGAAGGGTGCTAACAGGGTTGCAAATTTCTTATAATAGCTTGGAGCACTTTCGGTACGGTGACACCGGCGTTGAGGGCCTTCTGCGCCGGGAAAGAGGCGGCAGATTCTTCCTCCTCCTCCTCCTCCTCTTCTTCTTCTTCCTCCTCCTCCTCCTCTTCTTCTTCTTCCTCCTCCTCCTCCTCTTCCTCCTCCTGATACAAATTAATGTATAAAAAAGTCCACATATTCTGGAAATGCTGGTGCTTTAAGTGAAGCCGGATACCAAAGGATAGAAAAATTCCTTCACCTTCCACCCAATCACACAGCCTCCTACCAGAGATTTTGACCACCCAAAAGATTGGTCAAATAGCACAGTTATCAAGTTATCAGCAAAGTGATGCAAGAGAAAAAACATAAACAATCCAACTTAGTTCAAGAAATAAAAAATCTAAAAAGTAAGAGACAAAGCTCAGTGTACGGTGAATACTGCATTTCCACTAGGGGCCAAATGCTCTATAGAGCCATACAGCACAGAACATCTTGACAGGATCCCATAAGAACAGGAACAACTGTAAAATTTTGCATCCTGCGGAGGGGGTTTTAGCAGGGTGGGCCCCACTATCCTCAGGCAATATGTCCTATTGCTCGGCTAGTTTAAGCCCTTCAGTCACAGGTGACACTGTGTAAGAGTGTTTATCCCATGAGATTAATAATTTAGTGGGAAAGCTCCAATGAGATGTGACATCATGGTGCTGAAGCAACTTAGTCAGAGACACTAGCGGTTTGCTGTTTTGTTGTATGTTGAGACATATTTGAAAATAAAGAAAAAAAAAAAACTGAGTATGGATCTAGCAAAGGTGAATTCTGTCTTGCATATTTCCTCAGGTTCTCTTTAACTTGGTAAAAATGAATTTTAGCAATCGCATCGTGTGGGATATTGTCTAGAAGATATGGTGGTTTAGGGAGCCTATGGGCTTGATCCACAATCACCTCAAGTTCAGGGGTGTCAGGTAAAAGGGTGCTGATCATTTGGTGAACATAATGCCTGAGGTCGGATGGGGGAGCCAACTCTGTTATTCTCCTAAACTTCTGTTATTCCCCCTAAAATTTATTTCTACAAACATGGTCTTCCAGATCCTCCAGTTTGAGTTCTATGGCTTTCAATTCCGCATTAGTATCATTATGGGCATCAACAAATTCATTTTGTGCCTCCACAAATTCTCCAATCTTGCTTTCCATATGATTGACTCTCTCCCCTACAGCTTCAACATCAGCTTTAATCTGAGTGACAAGGGAGAGAACATCCCTGTGAAGTGAGCTTCTCAGAGACACCATCATGTCCATATCCCCTTGGCGCTGGTGCCTCCCAGCCCTTTAAAGGGCCTGTGACCCTGAGAGGCGGTTAAGGGTCATGTGACCGCCATGATTGGCTGTCACAGCGGTCACATGATCGGAAAGGTCCCGATTGCAAGTAGTGATCAGAACCTTTCCATGAGGCATTGGTAAATGTGTCAAGGCCCAGCCTCCGAGAGGCTACATATTTGTGTACTGTCGGCGTCAACAGATTAAGGACAGTATCTGATATAGGTTGTCCAGCAGTAGGGTAATCATCAATAAATTCAATAAACTCTCTAGTATTGTCAACCAAGTTATCCACCCTGGAGTGCTCAACTGCATATACATGTGTGGGAGAGATTCTGGTACTTGCCTTGACAGCAGTATGCCCTTGTGGGAAAACTGACCGTTGTGTCTGTGTGAAGGCGAAGTTGGATGGAGCTGTCTGCCGGGTCCTTGAGGGAATTCACTCGCCGGGGAGGCTGGAGAGGTGTTGCGGTCGGCACCATCTTAGGTAGAAGAGACATCTGCTGAACTGAAGAAATTGGTCAGCTTACAAGGGCCAGTGGCCATTTTTCTTTTCCCCATGGCAATCCAGGGGTGCTTGGGAATACAGGTATGTCAGTCGGGAGCCTGGATGCTTCCACACGTCGCTGGGAATCACTGTGAACAGCCGTGTGGTCCAGGAGCTTCCCAGCTGCCGAACATGCCCCCCAGTTCTCCTCTTTCAACAGTAAACCAACTCCCAAGTCAAAAGATGATATATGGGAAGCAGAAAAAAAACAACAAACTGATAGTGTAGATTGCTAACCCAGTTTTATTAAAAGAGACCAAAATTGCACTCACATTTCAGCAAATAGAAAAGGCATTTCACAAAAACATTTCCAAAGATGGCATCTAAACTCCACCCAATGAGATGACATCACTGCTGGGCAGTGTTTGGCCGCCATCTTTTAAATGTTTTTGTGAAATGCCTTTTCTATCTGCTGAAATGTGAGTATGATTTTAATCTCTTTTAATTAAATTAGATTAGCGATCTACACTATCAGTTTGTTTTTTCTGCTTCCAATATATCTTTTGACCTGGGAGTTTGTTTACTGTTGAAAGAGGAGAACTAGAGAGGAGTGATTATTATATGTAAATAAAACGCAGTTGACCTCCTTTTATTGCAGTGGGAGTCTGACAGATGAGGTGAGCAACACACATAAGGCTGGGTGAAGGGCACCTGGGTCTGCATGACATGCACATTGAAGACTGTCCTGTTTTTGAAGGATTTGAAATTTTATTTTGAGATCCATGGATTGTTCACATTTTTACCATCTTTTATGGTTCATGATGATTTACAATACTAATACTGCACCAACTTTAAAGAGAGAATATATCATTTATTTGCACATATGTGTTTAGGAGTTTATTCACTTCATATTATTCCTTACTTTATATAATTTATATTATACAGTATATTATATATTTTTAGCTATTTTTATACTGGGTGATTTAGTATTTATGCATTGAAAGCGCTTCACAATGTATCTTTGTATAAAAAGAAAAGCGTGGGAATCTTTAGGGAGAGAGGAGGAGACTGTAAGAGTGAGAACGTGAGGAAGTTGGCAGTGTGGTTCCAGGAGGATATAGGCCAGATCAAGGTGTGTTGTAGAGCCCAGATCGCTGATCAACCTGAGAGCCAGGAGAGCAGACTCTACAGGCAGATGGCGCAGGATATCACCAACAGCACAGCCCCGGGACAGGAGAACAGAAGAAACAGAAGCGAAAAAGGGGGCCCCCTGGTACAAGGTCATCGGATTGACTTCCACATTGACGGATTGGATATTAGAGTTCTTAACGGAGGTCCATCCCCCACCAAAAGCTGACTTTTAATATTAGGGCACATACCTGTCCAGGGATCCAAAGGGTGTCCTCACCCCCAGCTGATTTTTCAAGTGGCTATCGGGTGCTGGCGCCACCATCTTAACTAAGGAAAACCAGCATTACAGCACAGTTCACCATGGCAAAGTGAGCCGGAAGTGGGAGTGGGTACCTGATAGAAGGTAGATAAGCGGAGCTTCAACTTTTAAACTCCACTTTAATTTGCACCACACATTCAAGTGTTTTGTTGTTGCCAGCTACTTAAGCTTAAGACTCTGTGCAGTATTGATTGCCATATTGAGATACAGACTCCATGACCCCTCCAGTGCTGTGGCCCATCTATCTCTTGCTATACTGTGTGCAGAGCTACCAACACAAGATTCCACTTTGGGCCTACTTGCTTAATGAAGAAACTAGTTTACCAGCCCAGTTCTCCATTTAAAAGGGACACACATAAGTTAAATTCTGCTCCCACCCCTTCCCAACTTACACAACCTCTGCAATCATCTGTCATTAAAGTGACCTCCCCCATGTACTGCCATATTCTAAAGGGGAATTCTGCTTGCTGTTGTATCTTTTGAAAATGTTATCCTCGCCCAAAAAGACAATATCATTATTGTGCACCAATGTAAGAATCTCAATAAGCCAGCAGAAGCAATCCTGTTCATGTGTAATGACTGGTTCTGTATGAGACATTGTATTCCCAAAATTATCATAGAGTTACACCCTGTCTCTAGTCACTGGGAGCCTGCAAGTGAGCTAGACCAGGGCTTAAAATTTCAAGTCCTGAGCTACTAGCCAGACCTTAGAGTTACTCGCCACCAACAAATACATACAAACAGAGATACCTGTACACACACACGCACAGAGACATGTACACACACGCACAGAGACATGTACACACACACACGTATACACATGTATACTGTACACACACAGGCACGTACAGACACATGTACATACACAGAAATACACACGCACAGACACATGTACATATACACAGACACATGTACATACATACACAGACATATGTACATGCATACAAACACACACACACGTACAGATACACACATGTACATACACACAGGCACATGTACAATTGTACATGCATACACAGACACACACAAACACACACATGTACACGTACACACACACATCCCCCCCCCCCATAAAAAGTTGCAGTACTTCGTTGTTCACTCACATATCCGGGTACTGCACTCTAGGGGGAAGCAGAGAGCACAGCTTGCTTTGCTTTCACTGCGCTCAGCTATTGAGCAGTCTCACGGCTCCCAGTGCCAATGACAGATCCAGCCTGAGCTCCGATCCTACTCAGCAAGATGGCCCTGGGGGACACACTCGCCCCCACCATAATTTCCACTCGCCATTGGCGAGCAAAAATTTGAAGCCCTGAGCTAGACCATTATCTCTTGTTCTTTACTCCTTTGTTCACTTGGGGAAAACTTCCCGATGCGAGGGCTAGTACCTAACTCTCGGTCCTGCAGGACGGTTGGGTCTAGTTAAAGTGACACTTTGTACTTTGTTGTTTATTTCTCCTGTGTGGTTCACTTTTTTGCGCACATTAGTCATTGATGCTTTGAGTGTATATTTCTGCTAATCTGACTTTAATACAGATTGATTTGCTGTTTATCAAACACTGTATGATTATTGTGTGTGTTATAGCCAGGGGATATCTGGCCAATGTAGAATGGTGGTGTCAGCAGGGGTTGTGCTCCAGCCAGGGCTCAGAAGTGAATGGGGAACCCAAAATAGTCAATGGCTCCTGAGGGGGTAGCACTACAAACTATATATATACATTTGTGTAGACAGAGTATATGTGAGCTGGGGCTTAGCAAGATTAGCGCTCTTAGGGAGAATCATACAGTAGTTTCATAACTTCATATTTGTATACTTGACTTTATGGTAACCCTTTAAGTAAAAATTATGTGGATACAAATGTTTTGGAATTTTATAAGGTTATGTGGTGAACTTTTCGGGGTTATGTTTGGCACCTTAAAGTTCTTCTTTTCCTCCCCTTTATTCCAATTTTTGATTTAGGATGTCGTTTCAGCTACAGCAAACTGTGTTCCCGGTTTGTGCTTCTAGATGTAAACAGGTGATTATCCGTTTACATCCACCTACAGTCAATGTCACTTCATGTCTGATTTCTTAAACAAGCTGCATCTCTTTCTATTATTCGATGGGGGGCACAGTCTCTGATGGGGGTGCTGCTTCAGATTGAGTGCGGTTTAGAACGAGTGCATAGAAGAAGCAGTTAAACGCAGCAATCTAATTATGCCTTCTCTACTTTCACAGGTAAATGCACCTTTCTCCTACCTCCACTCTTAACTCCAAAACGCATTGACTCCTGCTGCCTTCCTCCTGGGTAAATGCACCTTTCTCCTACCTCCACTCTTAACTCCAAAACGCATTGACTCCTGCTATATTCAGAACAAATGGTGTATCTATATTTGTGTATGTTGACCAGCTCTCACCTTTAGCTGCACCCGTTTTACGATTGGTGTCTGTTTCCTGAGAGAAACATCCCCCACTACTCATGTGATCCTTATCAGCTTCTAATTGGGGTGGAGTTGAATGTTCATTTGAGCATCTCCCTATAAATTTAGATCAGCTCATGGGGGAGATCTCTGATGGGGGGCACAGTCTCTGATGGGGGTGCTGCTTCAGATTGAGTGCGGCTTAGAACGAGTGCATAGAAGAAGCAGTTAAACGCAGCAGTTGAACTAAAGCAGGAGAACTCAAGCAGCAGGAAGACACAACAACAGCAAGAAGCTCTACTGCATGCTGGAAGACTGCAGCAAACACCCTGGGAAACCTCTTACATGCCTGAGTCCCACTCCGTGTACCTTTATATAATACACCCCCTCTTCTCCTTATCATATTACTATCCTCTGTTCCCAAATCTCATTTCTTTACCCCTCTGCTCCACCCCACAACCTGTACATCTCCCCCTCACTGCTATCATCTCCCTACTATTGCTCTCTTCACCTCCCCAAAATGCCTCTTCCACTCCTCCTTCTCATTTTCCTCTCCTCCATTCCCAAAATCCATTCACTATATCCCTCTGCCCCTCCCAAACAATTGTATATTGTGTCCTCACTGCTTCCCTTCGCCCCTCTATGGCACCCACCACCTCCTCCTATTTACTCCTCTCTCCCACTGACCCCAACACCTCCACTAGGAGTTTCTCACGCTCCTGCACATCCCGCTCCCATGCCACCTTTCTCACCCTTCTCCTCCTCCTAGCCGCGGGGGACATCTCCCCGAATCCTGGCCCTCCACCTCCCTCACCCGCTCAACACACTCCCCCCTCCACGTCCTACTGCAACCCCCACAACTTAGTATCTGTCCCCCTGCTCCCTAAAATCTCCCCCCCATTTTCATGTGCACTCCTGAACGCCCGTTCGGTGTGCAACAAGCTTACCGCCATCCACGACCTCTTTGTTTCCCGCTCCCTCAACCTCCTAGCGATCACGGAAACCTGGATCCAGCCCACTGACTCTACCTCCCCTGCTGCACTCTCCTACGGAGGTCTCACCTGGACCCACTCACCCAGGCCTAACGGTCGTAAAGGTGGTGGGGTTGGTCTGCTCCTGTCACCGCAGAGCACCTTCCGAGTCCTCCCAACCCCCCCCCCCTCCCTATCCTTCTCCTCCTTCGAGGCCCACTGCGTCCGACTATTCTCCCCAACCCCCCTGAAGATTGCTGTGATATACCGGCCTCCTGGATCTATACCCCGCTTCCTGGATGACTTCTCCTCCTGGCTACCCTTCTTCCTCTCCTCTGAGCTACCCACATCATCCTTGGGGATTTCAACATCCCTGTCAACCTCGACAACCCAGACACAGCCCGTCTCCTCCACCTAACCTCCTCCTTTGCACTTGCACAGTGCATACAATCCACCACCCACTCCGACGGAAATATCCTGGACCTTGTCTTCTCCAACCGCTGCGCGCCCCCCACAACCTCACTAACACCCCCTTCCCTCTCTCTGACCACAACCTGATCACCTTCTCTATCTCCTCGTCCTCCAACGCCTACCCCTCCAAATGTCACACTACTACCAGCCGTAACCTCCGCAACCTTAACCCTGCCTCCCTCCACTCTGCAGCTGATCAACTCCACGACCGCATCCTCCCCCTGTCCTGCCCCGACTTGGCTTTGACCGCCTACAACAATGCGCTCTCAACAGCCCTTGACTCACTAGCGCCTTTAACCACACGCAACATCAGACCCCGACCGCTCCAGCCCTGGCAGACTGATCACACCAAAACCCTCAAACGACAAAGTCGTGCCCTGGAGCGACTATGGCGCAAAACCAAATCCCAACAAGCCTTCACCCACTATAAATCTGCCTTCCGCACCTACACCTCCTCCCTCCATGCTGCCAAACAGGCCTACTTCTTGACCCTCATCAAGGCCCTCTCCTCCAATCCTCGCCGACTCTTCTCTGCCTTCAACTCTCTACTCTCTCCACCCCCCACCTCCACCCAGCACCTCACTCACTGCCCTTGAGATTGCCAATCACTTCAAAAACAAGATTGACACAATTCGCAAGGACATTGCCGCAACTCACACGCCCTCTCAACCCGTCCCCTCTCACACAGCTACCCCCTTATCCCCCCTCCCCCTCGACATAACCCGCAGGGACTTCGTCGCTGCTCAAACTCTCTCCAACCCCCTTCACCCTCACTCAGCTACCCCCTCATCACCCCTCTCCCACGGCCCCACCACTGCTCTGACCTCCTCTTCCACCCCACCCTACATTCTTCATACTGAAGCTCCCCCCACACACTCTGCACCTTTGACCTTACTACCATCGAGGAAGTCTCCAAGATCCTCTCTGATGCCCACCTCACCACCTGCCCCCTGACCCCCCCTCACAACTCCTACGACCTTCCTCCTCCTCCATCCTACGCTCCCTCACCCACATCTTCAATCTCTCCCTCTCCTCAGGCACTTTCCCCTCCCCTCTGAAACATGCACACATCACCCCCATACTTAAAAAGCCCTCCCTGGACCCCAATGACCCGAACAACCTCAGGCCCATCTCCCTGCTCCCATTTACATCTAAACTGCTCGAGCGCCTAGTCTACACCCGCCTATGCTCTCACCTCAACGACAACAACCTCCTCGATCCCCTACAGTCCAGCTTCCGTCCCCTACACTCCACCGAAACTGCCTTACTCAAACTCTCCAACGACCTGCTAACCGCCAAAGCTAATGGCCACTATTCAGTGCTCCTACTCCTTGACCTCTCTGCGGCCTTCGACACAGTCGACCACCCCCTCCTCCTCAAAAAAAACTACACTCCCTCGGCCTCAGAGATTCTGCTCTCTCCTGGCTCTCATCCTACCTGTCACAACGCTCCTTCAGCATTACCTATAATGCTACCACCTCCCCCTCACTCCCCCTCTCTGTTGGGGTCCCTCAAGGCTCTGTCCTCGGGCCCCTTCTCTTCTCCATCCTTACCTCCTCCCTTGGCCAACTCATACACTCTCACGGCTTCAACTACCACCTCTATGCCGACGACACACAAATCTATCTCTCACCCCCCCCCACCTCACCCCCTTGGTCTCAGCCCGAATCACACACCTACTGAGCGACATATCAGACTGGATGTCGCTCCACTTCCTTAAATTGAACCTCTCCAAAACCGAGTTTCTAGTCTTCCCCCCAGCCCGGACACCACCCCCCATTGATTTCTCCGTCACATCCAACAACGCTACCATCAAACCCGCCCTGCAGGCCAGAGTACTGGGTGTCATTCTGGACTCCAACCTATCCTTCCAGCCCCAAGTCCAATCTTTAACAAACTCGTGCAGACTCCACCTCCGCAACATCGCCAAAATCCGCACGTTCCTAACCCCAGAAACCACTAAACAGCTCATCCACTCCCTCATCATATGACGACTCGACTACTGCAACTCCCTCCTCACTGGCCTGCCTCGCCGCTGGCTATCCCCGCTTCAGTCGATCCTGAATACGGCTGCCAGACTCATTCACCTTTCCAACCGCTCTGTCTCCGCCACCCCCCTCTGCCAATCCCTCCACTGGCTTCCGATTGCGCAACGGATCAAATTCAAAATCCTAATGCTGACGTACAAAGCTGTCCACCATACTGCCCCGAACTACATCACTGACCTAATATCCAAGTACCGCCCAGCACGCACACTCCGCTCCTCACAAGACCTCCTTCTCTCTAGTTCCCTGGTCTCCTCCTCCCATGCCTGCCTCCAGGACTTCTCCAGGGTGTCACCCATCCTCTGGAACTCCCTGCCCCAACCCATCAGATTATCACTACTCTCCTCCTCTCCTTTAGGCGCACCCTGAAAACCCATCTCTTCAGGGAAGCCTACCCCACCCCCTGCTAACTTGCCGACCTCCTCCACTCTTC